ATTAAATTGTGGCAAACAGCCACTATAAATTAATTATGTAACAGACCGACCAAAACCCGTATTACGGGGTGTTTTTTGCTAGTTTGATACTAATAAAATAATTTTTTTTGTATCTATACAGTTTAAAAAAATTTAAATTAAATTTAAAAAAAAAAAATCAATTATTTGAAGTGGGATAGCCTACAAATCAAATTGAATTTAGATTAAAAAAAAACTCGAAATATAATATCACTGTAAACTATTTTCATTTCTTTACTAGACATTTCAAAATATTTATTGGGCATATTCAATTTAAATTTTTCGCTGACAATGGCCCATAAAATGCTGCCCTGGAAAAGCCAACCCGGATCCTCACCCTCTGTGCGCCCTAGTATATATATATATATATATATATATATATATATATATATATATATATATATATATATATATATATATATATATATATATTTATACATTAATCAGCTTCGTATCATTGCTAACCAAGTTAAAATAAAACCTACTAACAATAATGAAATCCCTAGTGCAATCAAAATTCAAAAACCAACAAATCCAAATGCACTTTCTACAATCTCTCTGCCTAAGAATCCATTAATATCCACTAAACATTTTTCCGAAGAATTTTTTGCTCAAAAATATTTCGGAAAGCTGGTTTTTTGTTTTTAAATCTAATCATAGTTTAAGGACTCGTCTATTATTAAAAAACAAATTAAGGCTACCGGACAACAGTAAACCTGAAATTTATTTAATTTACCGAAATCTCTTATTAGTGTATCTTGGTGAAACTCTAAATCTTAGCACTTTTTAACTTCTTTTAAACCTGATAATACATTAAATTCAATCTATGCTGATTCAAATCACCAGCCAAGTATACTAAAACAAATAACACACTCTGTTGAACTTAGATTATCTACAAATTTTTCTACCAAAGAAATATTTCAACTTTTCCTCTATATAATGAAGCCTTCTTAAGTCTGGTTTTAAATGTAGTCCAAAATATAATCCTAAAGCAATATTATTCGAAAACAGTACAGAGCATGCAACATCATTCGGTTTAACATTTAACGAAAATGTTATGCACCAACGTGGGAAAATGTTTTTTGAAATTAATTGAGAAAACATTTCTTTATAATAACAAACTGCATAAAATCTTTTACAAGAACACAGTCAAAGTTAGTTACAGTTGTATGCCAAGTGTAAATTCGATCATAAATTTGCACAACAAATACATTTTATGCAACGATACAAACTCTAATCAAAAAAATTGTAACTGCCTAAATAAAAATCTCCATTGTCCATTGTTCAATAAATGTTTAACAAGCAAAATACATTGTATATCAAGAAACTGTAACCACCACTAATAATAATTCATCTCCTATCGAAAAATCCTACATTGGTGTGAGTAAGATTTTTTTTAAATTGAGATATGCTAATCATGTTGAGATTTTAAAATTAAGATACGCAAATCTTTTAACATCCCTAAATACAAAAATGATACTGAGCTCTCAAAGCAGGTATGGAAAACTAAAAAAGCCAGTTTAGTTCCTATAATTAAGTTGAAACTTCTCAAGCGATATAAAACATATAATCCAACATTCAAATCTTGTAAATTATGTCTCACTAAAAAATATAAAATCTTAAATAGAAAATTATAATCTACTAAACTAAAGGAGTGAGATTGTTTCTAGTTGCAGACATAGAAACAGGTTCCTCCTTTCTCGTTTTAATACTGGCGATTAGAAAAGCTGTTTTTTCCGTGTTGATATTATGGTTATTACTATTATAATTATTATAACTAATATTATTATTATTATTATTATTATTAAAAAATAAACTATTATTATTATACTAGCTGGGCGGACCCGTAAAATACGGGTCTTTACCGAACCGACCATTTTTATACTTATCTGATCATTTCTATAGCTATCAGGACGTAAAATAAGGGTCTTAGTAAATCTATTCCACACCGACCTTTTCTATACTTATTCCTTACCTCAATATTTTTTTAAAACCGTTTTAAAAACTATGTACATATAAAAAACTATACTTACTTTTTGATATGACAAAAAAATTTCATTATATAACGTTATAATGTTCTTTAAAAAACTTTAAACGCTTTTAATATTATGCCGATTATAAAGATTTTAATAAGAAAAAACGTAAAAAAGACTACGAACTTTGAAAAATGCTAAAACATTCAGCACGTGATGCCGTTAAAGTACGCCTTAGTTAACGTTCATAACATATACACATCTAATTAGATTTTTTTTAAATTCAGTTGTTCCAAACTTGGTTTTGAATTTTTAATTACACTTCTTATGCGTCATAAATTATCTCAAATTCTAAATAGAGAATACGTTTATGGGCTAATTGGTAGCCGCGCAACACTTAGACAGATATAGTCATCTCACCCCGGGAGTTCATATTCCAGTGACCTTTTTTTTCATCCCAACTTACAACAAAAATAATTAAAAATAAATGTTATTATTGAAACAGTTTTAAACATTTCTTCCAATTTTTCTTTGAACTTAATTTTATTCACGGTAAATATACTTTTGGTGTTTGTAAGCATTTTTTTACGTTTAGTATTGGTAGGAATTATTTGCACGCACGTATTTTAAACAATTATTTTTACTGTTTCATCTAAAAATCATATGTAATTTAGTTTTATAATTTTTTAAATATAATATATATAATTTAAAATATTTTATTAACCCTATTTAAATAAGTATCAAAACTCTTTTCTTTAATTTAAAAGAATGCCTGCCCAAACCTAAACGCTCAGTTGATGTATCTCCGCTTTGCTTTTATTTGTTAACCGTTAGAAAAACATTACAAAAAGAAACATAATAGAGTCCATTAGTTTATAGCATCCGAGTAGACTCTTCTAATATTAAACAGAGTATCTTACAATTTTATTGGTTTTCTAAATTCTGTCATAGTTGCGCACTCGGTTTAGAATATTTAACGGGGGCGTAAATAAGTAACTGTAAAATTCTAAATATTTTTGTTATTTTAAATTAAATAGTTTTAACGTTTTATTATTTTGAAAAATATTAAGTTCAATAAAATAATTCATTTTAAAAATAAATTTAAGATTTTTAAAGTTTTTTTAAATAAGAATGTTTTTTTTTAAAACCCCCTCACTGTTTTAAAAAAATTCAAGGTCGCCGCGTGGCAAGTTCAAATCATCAGCTTGCTTTTTTTAATGAAATTATTGTTATTTAAAATGCAAAACAAAACAACTTTATAGTTCTAAATATTTACATGTTATATACCCAATTTCTTTGCGCTAATACGACTTAAAATAATATGACAAATAACAAATTTAAAATTATAATAAATAAAAGTTTACGTAAGGCTAACCACGGCATTTTGACGAAAATTTCAAAAATATATAATAAATAAAAGACTTTGTAAATCGATCAAAATTAAAGAGACGTTGCCGCAATGCTGTTTTTAAGTGAAAGTAAAACTGTAAAACTTGACATGTTTTTGTATGTTTTAACATTTCATATTTTGAAGTTTACGTAAGTTAGATATTTGCATACACTTTTGTTTACGTTTATTTATCAAAAAGTGCTGAGACTCTTCCTCGCCATTACTTTGGTTGCAATAGTTGCCATGGGTTTGTCAAACACGCTCGAAAGAGCGCTACTAACACTATTAAGTTCGGCAATAATATATGGAGAAGATAGCTTTTAGTAAATGGTATGAATATACATTTGATAAAGTATTTTTGATAATGTATGAATAGACGTATTACTAATGGTATTAGTAATACGTCTTTAGAAAAAGTAAACGCTTTTAAAAAATGATTAACGATTAACAATTTTTAAACCAGTTATAACAGGAAATCTACCTATAAAATGAAGAAAAATATTGTTATATAAAACACTGAATACACATATAAAAGTTGTTTAAAGTTATTTAAAAGTTGTCTAAATGTTGAAAAATTACATAATAAGATGTAAAAAAATATATAAAAGGTGACGAAACTTAGTCAATTATCAAACACTAAATAAGAAACTTACTTTGTGAGATCGCTTTTGTGGAAGTCTCTAGTATTTGATTGGAAGGCTGGAAACACTCTTTATTTAAAAAGCTATTTTATCAACAATGCTAAAGATAAAAAGTCACAGTGAGATAAAAAAATTAGGCATTTATTCAAAAAAATATTTCTTGGCTTTTAGTGAATGATTAGAAGGAGTAGTTTCAGTAATGAAGCTAGCTAATAATCATTTTTAACGATAGACACAAGCGTGAAGGTAAGCCAAGCTGTCTATCAACACAAAACATCACAACAGAAACATTACACAATGACAAACAAAAACACCAGTGGTGTAGACAGGACTTTTGTTGTTTTATAAGAAATTTAAAACCTGTTAATGAATAAGATTATTATTATATGCTTAAAAAAAATACTTTTTTAACTAATTGGCAGCTAAATTCAAGGGAGGAAAGCAAACCTTTTTAAAACATATTTGTTTTCAAGCCCCAACCACATCCATATTTTACAAATTATTTGAATTTGACAAACATGAACACAATTAAGTTTAGTTGAAAGAGTCTGAAAGTAATGAAAGAGTTTGAAAGTAAATAGTCTGAAAGTAATGAAATAGTCTGAAAGTAATGAAAGTAATAAAAGAGTCTGAAAGTAATGAAAGAGTTTGAAAGTAATTAAAGAGTCTGAAAGTAATAAAAGTAATAAAAGAGTCTGAAAGTAATGAAAGAGTCTGAAAGTAATGAAAGAGTCTGAAAATAAAAGTAAAACCTGAAGCATCAAAAAATCCTGCCTAAGTTACTGAATAATACACAACATATGACATTTGTAAGTACACATTACACAATGTATTCAGATATTATGTGTTTCCAAAATAATTAAAAAAGCTAGACAACACAACCTAGTTCAACACTTGTAACACCGCTTGGCACTAAACGCTGCCAAGTAACACCACAATTTAGTAACACCGCTTGGCATTAAGTGCCAAGTAACACCACTAATTAGTAACACCACTTGGCTGGCAAGGATCACAATCTTGCACTACACGTTGCCAAGTAACACCACTTTTCAAACATGGAAACAACATAATATAAACTTAAACACATATAAACAAACATATACAAACACAAACATCTATATATAAGTAAAAACATATATTCACATATATAAACATATATAGCAAAGAAAAAAAACATAAACAAACTTGTCAAAATTATAAATTAAGAACATTTGTAAACACAACATTATTTGTGTAATATTTGTTAAATGACATACCTTGTAATGCATGTTTATCAACTTTAAAAAACAAACTATTAAAAGATTTTGTTCTTGAACATGCAACATATAATTGGCCGTGTGAAAAGCAAGGCTTTTTGAGATAAACACCAACTTTATCAAATGTTTGACCTTGACTTTTATTTATGGTCATTGAGTATGCTAACCTAACTGGAAATTGACGACGTTTAAGTGTAAAAGGTAAATTTGAATCTGATGGAGCTAATTGAACTCGAGGAACAAATACCGTGTTACCAGCTGATACACCTGTTAGAACCTCACCATCAATGTAATTGTTGTGTAGTGCACGCACTATCAAACGTGTTCCATTACAAAGTCCACCTTTGAGATCTAAATTTCTAAGTAGCATTATAACAGCACCAATTTTCAACTTTAGGCAATGAACAGGCATACCTGATGGAGTCAAAGTATTTAAAAACTCAACTGGAAAATTATAAATTTCATTATGATCATCAGTTTCAATGCTATCTGAACTTAAATAAGTTTTAACATCACCCGGTAATCGATGAAGGACTTCTTCATTTATTGCCAATGAATCAACATTTGTTGGTGTTAAAATAGCACGTTTTGCATAATCAGCTTCTTCTGCACCACCAAAAATCTTTTCCACAATAGATTCATTATCATTGAGAAAACACTGCTCAGGTATTTCAATACACCCTTGCAAAGGATCTTCAGGCTTGACAGGTAATGTTCCACTTCCAAGCTTTAAAAGCCATTGAGAAAATTCCTCTTCTCCTATCTGAACCCTCATATTTTCAGTTAATGAAAACCTTTGCACATATTGCCAATGTTCAGAACACTTTATACATGATTCTACAACATCTGCTGGTCGACCTCTCTTCACAACTGGAAGTATTTGTCGAAAATCTCCACCCATAAGAATAACTTTACCACCAAAAGGAAACTTATTATTACAAATATCTTGTAATAACTTATCAATGGCACTCAAAGCATGTTTGGGTATCATAGATGCTTCATCGAGTAAATATAAACTAACTTGCCTCAGGAATCTACCATGAATGGAGTTTGGAGTTACATTACATGTGCTAGTTTCCAAAATTGGAACAGGAAGTTTGAATAAGCCGTGCAATGTGCATCCATTCTTAAGAAGAGTTGCAGCTATTCCTGTCCATGCAGCTGTTGCAGTTCTAATATGCCTGCTGCGTGTTTCAGCAATTAAATAATTGTAAGTAAATGTTTTACCACAACCGGCAGGCCTATCCATAAAGAAAAATCTTGAATGCTTATTTTCATTATTAGGTTCTTCACTAAGTGCAGCAAGGATTGCATCAGCTACATTACGCTGATTATCGTTTAATAATGGTCTAACTCGATTTGCTTCATCAATAAATACCTGAATATCTCCATCATCATTTTCTAGGACATTATCTAATAACTGATCTAATGTAGGCAAATTATAATCAGTTAAAGTTTTACCACTCTGATTAATTATAGATTCAATTTGACGAAGAGCAGTCTGTTCAGCAAGTACAACTGGCATTGAATGGTGTATGTAATCCTCAATCATATAATCTTTAAATGTATTCCAAAGGTGTAAATGATCATCAGGTTCACATAAAGTCAATATAATGGAAAACAGTTGCCTAATTTGTTTAGGCATTCGAGTTGCTACAGCTTCAGTTAATGTATTTCTCCATTCAATGTCATCTTGCAATAGACCTAATCGATAACATGCTTCACGAAATGTATTAAAAACAGTGCCATGAATAGTACGCAAATTCTCAAAAGACATTGCACCTTTTACATGCAAAAGCAACAATCTAAGAAAAAATACTTCACTGGTTAGATTGACTTTATACATTCGCACAATCACCTTATCACTGCCTCTTTGTCTTACTTTCCACTTGCAATTTTTACCATCAAAAACAAAGTGATATGGAATTTCAACATAAGAATACTGACGTGCTTCATTTATCTCAGCATTTAATTTAAACCAAGCGGTTAGGTGAGTGTCACGCTGTGCAGCACGATCTATAGCTACTCGTTCTTCTCCTTCGTTAAAATATACCCTCTGATTATCAGGAAGGTGGACTTGAAGGCGGATAATAGTATGTGACATATCACTTATGGAATACTCAAATATTCGCCAAAGAGCCTCTGGTGCAGAAACAAAGCGACAATCTAAATATGTGTTAATTTCATCATGGTCAAGACTTTCATTAATTAACACATGAGCACAATCATGCCCTTTATAGACATATTTATATAAATACTTAACTGACTTAATAGACATGCAAGCTTCAACATTAATATGTGCTTGGTATTTTTTAGATAACCAAGGGTTGTAGGGTACAACCCATCGATTATCAACTTGGTTACCTTTTATAACGACTACTCTACCATTATCTAAACGCCTGTAGTGAGGATAGCCATTGAAAGTTGCATCAGTGTGAGGATTAAATTCTTTAGGAAACTTTTTTGTGCAAATCCCATCTTTCATGCAAGAAGAATTGGGATTCAAAATTCCACATGGTCCGTGAATCATACATGTTTTTATAATTTCAAAAAGTTCAGGATCAACAGTTTGATCTGGAATTTCAGCTGATATTAGACTATCAATATCCTCTGCTGTTTCTAGCTTATCATCATTTACAAAGTGCAATAAAATATGTACATGTGGCAAACCACGTTTTTGAAACTCAATAACCTGTACATGACTTATAACTTTACCTAAGACTCCGTGTTTAAAAATATCATCTAGGAAGCATTTAAGTTTCATCTTAAATACACGACAAACTAAATCAGGTCTGTCAGATGGGCTCTCACCTGGATTTAAATTTTCTGTAATTTCTTTCCATTTTGGATTGCAGGTAAAAGTAATAAAAAGATCTGGTTTGCCATATCTCTTTATAATTGCCATTGCATCTTCAAAATTTTCTTTTAAAGCTCTTGGACTTCCAACATATGAGGATGGTAGTATAACAACACGACCTGGTCTTACATTAAGGTTATTTGCAGCGTTATTTACATGTTCATATAATGTATCATATTGTTCACTTCTAAGTCTGTTTTGGTTATTTCTAATAAAAGCAAGGCGCTGACCTTCAATCTTGACATATGCATCAACAGCATACTGTTGAAAAAGCTTCTTACCATAAAATATAGGATTAAAGGTTTCTCTAACAGAAAGCCTGTAATTGTAGTACTAAGACAAAGTAACCCGATTTCTAACACGTGTAGCTCGGTCAGGATGATGCTCTAGTTGCTCATGCCATCCAGCATCACCTCTTGGAAAAAATATTGGATATATCATTGGATCTAGATTTGCAGACATACTTGAAATTGTTTTTAAGGCCTGACCTCGAGGGTATATAACTACTTCCCTAGATGGAGGTGGAGCACCATCATCCCCAACAAAAACAATGGCAACTTCCTCATGTGAAGGAAGATTGTATCGACGTCTATCACCACCTTCAAGCAATGACATTTTAACAATCGAAGTTGGTCGACCTTCTAAAGCTGCTTGACGTACTTCTTCATCTTCAATTTCAGCCATGTTTTTAAATGCAAGAGCAAATGGGTTCTCTTGACTAATTATAGTCTGCAAAAATTCCATCAACTCACGTATGCAACAATCATTTTGCTCCATTCGAAAATTTAAAGCAGTATTAGGATCATAAACATATAACTGACAATATGCAGGCAGAACATTTTGATCAGGTCTCAGATTACCAACACGATGCACAATTTGTCCGCAAATCCTAAAACAGGGTGGCCCATGATCAGACGGAGGAGCTATTCTTGCTGTGAATGAAGCAAAAGATAAAAAGGCATTATAACTTCGAATATGCTTGAAGAAATTTTGATTCATAGCACGATCAACATGGTTGCCTGTCATTAAATTGTGCATGAGCAGTGGATATGGCGAAAGTGGAGCTAACGCAACTTTTCCAGAATGGCAGCACAGAAAATGTGTTTCATTTAAAAATTTTTTGGCACCACAATATTGACAAATATGGTTCATTTCTCCAAGGTAATTACTCACTATAAAAACATTATTTCTTGCTATGCAATGCATTCCACGTCTATGTAATACTCTCCTAGCCTGATTTCTTTCATTTTGGCGACGATTAATTTCTTCTCGCCTAGCCTGATTTCTTTCATTTTGGCGAAGATTAATTTCTTCTCGCCTTGCCTCATTTCTTTCATTTTGGCGAAGATTAATTTCTTCTCGCCTTGCCTCATTTCTTTCATTTTGGCGACGATTAAGTTCTTCTCGCCTAGCCTCATTTCTCTCATTCCGACAATTTCTTCTTATTTCAGCTCTCAAGTTATTTGACATAACTAAGAAACTATGTTTGATAAAAGTTGATTTGATTAATTTTTTGTTATACTAATCTAAAATGGAAAAACATAATATGTGCATTTCTAATTATCAATATAAACTCTATAAGACTATTTATATATTTTCTAATAAAAATTATTGACCTAAAGTCTTAACTTAACTGGTTTAAAACAGAGAAAAACCTAAAAGTTAAACATAAGTTGAACCACTAAGTATTACATTTAAAGTAATAAAACAAAATATTTTAGAAATAAATTAAAATAAAATTATAACAATTTTAACAATTTTTTAATGCTAATAATAACTAAATTAAATAGTAAAATTATTTACAAATAAAAAAACGACATGCCAAATTGCAAATTGCAAATAAAACTTGTCTAACATGTAACATCATATAGTTCACATGTGGCTATCTTTAATGATTACTTTTTTATAATAAAAATCTAAAGAGAATAATATAAACATTAATATGTGTATAATGCAACAATTAGGCATATAAAACAAACAAATAGAATAAGAAAAAATTGTAGCTAAATTACAAAATATTTACTATCAAGAAATCAAAAACTATATGAAATAAATAAAAATTAATAGACAAATTATTTAACATTTAACCACATAAGAGTTGTTTTGAAAGTTTAGACTCTCAAATCAGAAATAAAAATCAATAAATATAAAATTAAAAAATTAAAATATCTAAAATAAATAAAAATACTTGCAAAAATTGAAACTAAAAAACAACTTTTTTGAAACGTAAAGATATATTTACAACAAATAAATAAATTAACACAAAAAAAAAAAAAAAAACTACTGATAAAAATTCATAATGTTTGACCTTTGGTCATTCTGCCTCCCAGCACCACTCCTCCTACCGGTGGCCCCATATGGGGTCTGTCTCCTCCATCTAAAGGAGGGATCATCTCCCCCATATTGGCACCACCGGAAGAAGGCCCTCTGTGAAAATGGGCCTGGGTGCTGGGAGCGATATAAAAGGAAACTCTCCCAAGATGCTAAAAAAAAAGCAATAAATTTGATTACATACCATATATGCATA